CACAATGGAACAATCCCTGAGTGTGCACATCTACACACTCTTCCTCCTTTACACAATGGAACAATCCCTGAGTGTGCACACATCTACACACTCTTCCTCTTTACACAATGGAACAATCCCTGAGTGTGCACATCTACACACTCTTCCTCCTTTACACAATGGAACAATCCCTGAGTGTGCACATCTACACACTCTTCCTCCTTTACACAATGGAATAATCCCTGAGTGTGCACATCTACACACTCTTCCTCCTTTACACAATGGAACAATCCCTGAGTGTGCACACATCTACACACTCTTCCTCTTTACACAATGGAACAATCCCTGAGTGTGCACATCTACACACTCTTCCTCCTTTACACAATGGAACAATCCCTGAGTGTGCACATCTACACACTCTTCCTCCTTTACACAATGGAACAATCCCTGAGTGTGCACATCTACACACTCTTCCTCCTTTACACAATGGAACAATCCCTGAGTGTGCACATCTACACTCTTCCTCCTTTACACAAGAACAATCCCTGAGTGTGCACATCTACACACTCTTCCTCTTTACACAATGGAACAATCCCTGAGTGTGCACATACACACTCTTCCTCCTTTATACAATGGAACAATCCCTGAGTGTGCACATCTACACTCTCTTCCTCCTTTACACAATGGAACAATCCCTGAGTGTACACACATCTACACACTCTTCCTCCTTTACACAATGGAACAATCCCTGAGTGTGCACACATCTACACACTCTTCCTCCTTTACACAATGGAACAATCCCTGAGTGTGCACACACCTACACACTCTTCCTCTTTACACATGGAACAATCCCTGAGTGTGCACATCTACACACTCTTCCTCCTTTACACAATGGAACAATCTCTGCAGTGCGCACACATCTCCGCCCTCTTTATTCAGTCCCCACTGGGAATTGCTGTGCACTGTATTTAGTGCTGCTCACTTGCACTAGGAATCACGTCTATTACCTGGTAGTTTTCTTTTCACTGCACCTTCTTTCTTGTTTCATTTTCTTCACTGAGAAATGAGCACATATGATATGACCCACGATTGCTCCTATGTTTGTGTGTCCCCACTGCAGGTGCAGGAGTTAAAGTCTGACTGGCCTCGTTAGATGTATCACACTGCAGCCCAACTCAACATTTTACCTGCTATTGCTGCCTTCAGAAGTGCTTAAAGCACACAGTCTACTAATCGGCTCTCTAATTGAAAAAAAAATCCCTATTTTGGATATTACTTACAAAATATCTGAAAACTTCTATCTCTAGATTTTTATATATCAAACTTGATTCAAGAAAGAAACAAATAAAAATTTAATACCAGATTTTAAAAGATGCAATCATATAGCGCTGTATAAAAGTACAATATATCTGGTAGACAATATACCTGGCTTTGTGCAATAAGTCTCTACAAATGACTTAAGAAAAAGTCGTCAATAATTATACAACTATTACAAAAAGCTAAACCAAAGGAAACCAAACAAACCAGCTAGTAAACTGCAAATGTGCCCTCAAAATTTTATGGGAGTCAAAATTCCAGTAAAATAACAGAAGAGATGAAAACAGAAGTTTCTTATTATCACACTTCATATGTTATAAAACATAACAGCTAACTTAGTTTTGGCAAATGATTAGGGCTTGCAACACTCTGGCTTCCACAAACTCTCTTGATTGTCAAGTGCATCCCAAATGGAGCATGTCATGTTAACTTCAGGCATGCAGGGACCGCGTCGTCAGTGAGACACTGAAATTTCAACACTTCGGCATGGATCACACGGCCAGATTAACAGGCCCAGGAGTTTAACGGTTGAGGGGTGGGATGTGGTGGTGGAGAATTTCAACAATGCAGATAATTGAAAGCAGATAAAGCTTTTTTAAAAATTTGTATGAGTGTTTTGCCTCCATTTACAGCATGCATATGCCTGGTGCATGCAAAGGTGAGAAGAAGGCATTAGATCCCTGATCTAGAGCTACAGAGGGTCAGGAGCTACCATGTGGCTTCTGGGAACTGAACGCAAATACTCTGCAAGATTACAAACATTTTCTCACTGCTGACCCATCTCTCTAGCCTCAGATAAAGCCTTTGACTAATGAAAACACAAAATCGTAGCGATTGCTCCTTCCCTCCCCAAAGGTGTCTTGTATGTACAGTCATACACATTATTTACTGTTTAGACATGCAAGTCTGTGTGTCTCTTCTGTGTGTATGTGGTATATGGGCATGCATGTATGTGCATGTGTATGCATGTACATGTGAGGGCAGAGGTTGATGCTGGTTCTTTCTCAACTGTGTTCCATCTTAGGTTTGGAGACACTGTCACTGAGTCTGAAGCTCACTGATTTGTTGAGGTTGGCGGGCTGACAAGCTCCAGCGATCTACCTTCCCTGCTCCCATAGAACTGACTTATACCTGGATTTTGTGTAGGAGCTGGAGATCTAAACTCGGGTCCTCATGCCTGTGGAGCAGGCAGTCTCCTCACCGAGCCATCTCTCCAGCCCCATCAAATACAGTTTTCACCGCTCTTGGGAACTCTATCACCGTCCATCTTTACAGACGGATTACGTTGTCCTCATGTTTCTCCCTTTCCTCCTCCCCTCTTCCCATCCCTTCCCATCACTACCTTAATTCACGTGTTCACAGGAGACTGCGACCCTGGGAAGATACATGGCTACCACCTGGTGAAAGGCTCTGCAGTCGGGGACCTAGTTAAGCTGTGATCAGATTTCTGACCAGAAACTGAGATACAAATGTGTACCATTTACACTTCTAGTCTTGGACAACCTGGTACATAGCAGTAGGTTGGTGTAGGAGGTCCTTCTATTTATGTGTTGCTTTTATTGGTTAATGAGTAAAGAAACTGCCTTGGCCTTTTGATAGGGTAGAACTTAGGTAGGCGGAGAAAACTAGACTGAATGCTGGGAGAGAGAAAGCCGAGTGAGAGAGCGCCATGGAGCACAGCCAGAGTCAGACATGCGGAATCTTTCCTGGTAAGGCACTGACACGTGGCGATACACAGATTAATAGAAATGGGTTAAATCAAGATGTGAGAGTTAGCCAATAAGAAGCTAGAGCAAATGGGCCAGTGTTTTAAATAATACAATTTCTGTGTGGTTATTTCGAGGCTAAACTAGCCAGGTAGCCAGGACGAATAAGCGGACCCCCCCTTACAACAGTAGGTAGCCAATATAGCAGCTAACATAGTGATTGAAAAGAGTCTAATGTTACTTTCATAACAACAATAGTAGTAATACTTGCTTAGAACTTTAAAATCCCTTGCAACACTCTTAATATTTTGCATAATTCTTCAGAAGATCCTTGAAGAACACATAATTATTTCCAATGTGTTGATGGGAAAACTAAGGCCACAGACTCAATGACTTCTACAAGTTCATGCAAACAAAAGATGACAAAAAATATTTGAGCCTAAGTGACTAGCAAGAGCCAGAGCTCATGGGGACTGTGTGATAGGAGCACTCACATGTGGGCCTGGCACGGGAAAGATGGCAGCCGCCTATCGGGTAAGAGGAATGACATGGGCAGAAAGGAGGCTGTAAGTCACACCAAGGCCAACACCGAAGGTAAAGCTGCTCTCTGACTGAAGCACCACATCTGGAAAGAAATACCTCAACTGAGGAGGAGCAAGAGTCCAATGACAAGAGCACTGTCTTCAGTTTCCTGCGTTCACGCTTAGACATAAAAACATATTTTCTTATATCCAAAAGGAGAAAATTAAAATCCATTCGGTGTTAGAAACAGGGAGACCATAGTTGTGCTCTTTCCAAGTGCTGGTTTGAGCACTGAGCGCAGCGAGCTGGCAGGAAAGGAGGCAAATTCCTAGTGGGATCCAAGACCTTGCTGGAGATATTTCATCACATGGAGTGAAAAAATTCATGGACGGGGCTGCTGTGAAGGGATCCCTTCCTCTCGCTTAGCTGTCTCATCCATGGGACTCCAGGCTCTTAGCTCAGAACCATGCCTTGTCCCCTGGGGCGTCCTCAAGATGGCACAAGAGTGATTTTATACCCATGCGTGCCAAATGAAGACCTAAATTATCTTGTAATTGTACCCACTCAATGGGTCATTTCTGATACATGAGTGAAGGCATGCCTTTAAGGCTCTTAAAGAGTACACTTCCTATTGAGGGTACTTTAACTTTTACTCTGTGATGTCAATGTCAATGTATAGTACACAGCCACACTTAAGAACCAGATGTTGGCAGCTGTAGGTGTAGCTCAGTGGAAGATGCTTGTCCCTCATGCACTAGGCCCTGAATCCATCCCCAACATCAAAACAACAAACATAAAGACAGATAAAGTATTTCTGAATGAAAGCTGGATACATGTCTAAAAATGGCTAGAAAATACAGAACAGACAAGAATCTAGACCTACAAACACTTAGTGTGTTCCTGAAAGACAGGTATTACCTGTCAGTGATGATGACACATCACTTTGCATCTTAAAATAGACAGGAATATTTTCTTATTTCAATTTTTGGGACCAGCTGCATGCAGTGCCTGTCAAGGCCGGAGGGCACAGGATCCCTGGAGCTGTATACGGACTGTTGAGAACCACCGTGTGGGTGCTGGGACTCACACTGGATGCTCTAGGAGTGCGGTCTCAACTGCTGAGCCTTCTCCCCAGCCCATGCCTATTTTCAAAACATGCTCTCAATACAGACAAGAGTCCTGTACATGCTACATGTTCTTAAATATTGTTTCATAAAAGAGCAAATTAAATATAACACTAGAATTCCAGAGAATCTTAGATTCAAAGATATTCATTTAGAAAAATCTCTGTCTTTTTCACCATTACTCACGGGAACATTATGGAAATTTCTTAAACATAGGTCTTTAGCAACAGACAAAGATAAAGGCAGCCACTATACATCCCTCCCTCTGCTCTACAAAAAAAGCAAAGGAAAGATGAGGCTTTTTGCAAGGCAACAATCAGGTACCCACAGTCACCTTCTCAGGCATACTTACGGGCAGCTCAGGGGCATCCTTCATGACCCGAAGAACAATATAGCTGCCTATGGAGTGGCCAATGAGGATCAGCTTCACATCCTTGGGCACGTGAGCTCTCAGAAAAGCTATTTTGTGCTGTATTTGACCATTCAGACCATAGATGTCCTCAATTTCTTGAGCATTTGACTCTAAAAGCAAAAGTATAGAAATGCTTTAATGAATAAGTAAACAAGCTTATTAAAGTAGAACAAGATCTACAAAATGCCGAGACTTAAGAGAGTGACTTAGAGTCACGCACTGAGCACTTATCATAGCCTGTGATAGACGAGCTGCAGTACTAGACACTTAGATTACAGACATCCATCCTCACCACAGGACGGGAAAGGCAGCACTAGCGGAAACGTCCCAGCTCATGGACACTGTAAAGACTGACAGCTGTGGACCTCTGACGTAGGGCAGCTGAGATTCAACTGCAGGTCTGCCCTTGAAGCCCGTGAACTTGCAGCTCCTCCATGAACCACTGCTAGTTTAGGTCGGTAGAGCTCAAGGTTGATCATGTAGCGAGTACTCGGGAAGGGCTGCTGGAAGATAGCTGGGCCCTGACACAGAGTTTCTGACACAGTAAGTCTGTGCAGAGGCCCAAGAATTTCCCTTTCTAAGTTTCCAGGAGATGCAGGCAGGCTGAGTCTAGAGTTACACACTGGGAACCACTGGGTTAAGCTGACTCAGATCCAGTGAACTAAGAAAACACATGGTGGATACTGTTGACTATGTTGAATAATCTGTGCATATTGAAAGAACTTAAAGACTTAAGTAGAAACCTCAATGTTAACGCATACAGTCGTGACCTGCAATGACCTTTCTGTTCCTATTCTTTTTCTAGGGTTTTCAAGATCTAATTAAAACTATATTTGCATAAGCTCACTGACTTACTTATAAGTGGATATTAGCTGTTAAGTAAAGGACAATCACACTACAATCCACATACCCACAGAGGCTAAAAAACAGGGAGGGCTCTGGGCAGGAGGGTGGGGGGAGTTGTGTGTGGATCTCCCTGGGAAGGGGAAATAGAATAGATTTTGTGGGTGGACTTGGTGCAGGTGAGGACAGGAACAGGACGGATAGGGTGATGGGGTGGAAGGAGAGAATATTGGGAGAGACAGCTGCAATGGTGGGGGTGTACAATTCAGGGGCAAGGCAGAAATCTAGCACAAGAAAAACTCCCAAAGATCTATTAGGGCGACCCTACCCAAGTCTCCTAGAAATGATCATGGGAGAAAGACAGTGATCCTCTGCACTCAGAGAAATGTTGCATCTCTCTCCAACATCCTCTAGAGAAACACTCCTAGAACACTACCATAGATGCCATGTTGAACTACATATCTGAATGTGAGCATACCAGTCTATATAAACATCCCTACATGTATGTGTATATATATATATGTATGTGTGTGTATGTTTAGCTACAGATAAAATATTAAATTAGTAACTTTACCTATGTATTCTCACTCAAACAGTATTTATAAAACTCCAATGACAATAAAAGTAGTCATAAGACTAGAAAATACTGTTGTGTGCTGGAATTGTATGTGCAGGTGGTAACCCCTCACATCTTACACAGGAATTATCACATCTACAGAATTCTTTGCCTCACTATTCTCTGAAATGATACCCTAATAATTTCGATCAAATATCATACATATTGAAATATAAAGACTGAAATAAGAACTTCATATTTGAAATCCTCTGAACAAGATAAGTGTACCAATTATTCTTTAGATGGACTTTTAAGAACAAACTATGTTCCTCATACATGTATATTACAATCAGAAAATCTAAAAAGTCATTAAAATTTAACTCTAAATTCAAAGTAGAACCAGAGACAGAATGCAAAACAACCTTTGTATTATTTGTTTATTTACAATATTAAAATGGTCCGGCAATGATAGCCATCATGTAATCATAGAACTTGAGCTGTTACATAAGTATGAATATTGAACTTGGTTTGAGAAAAGAGACTTTTGACAGGCAGTTCCCAGGGGTCATCATCTATTTTACAGGGAAAAGTCACTTTGCTGTTACTCAGACGGAACAGAGAAAGCCTAAAGGACTTTGTAAGTTCATGCTACAGATCACAGAAGCAGCTGGGGGAGAACTGTGGCCCCTACTTCTTTACGACTCATTCCTTCAGAGATCTGAACGACATTCCTTTCACAGTTATCCTTAGGTTTACGATCTGAGGTGAAGGGTCACCTCACAGTTTGGGCTCGTCTGCTTCCAGCTCTCTCCATGTTCTGTAAGCTCTTTGGATGGAAATACTGGTGAGACCCTGCCAGCTCTGAAAGCGTCCGACACACTGGCGGGGTGAGAGACGGCATCTACAACCATTACAAATGCCACCTTACTTAAAAACAAATAAAAACCTATGACCCCAAAGAATGGCTTATAAAATAATTTTAATTATTATTCTCCAAACAGAAGGTATAATGGAATAATCAAAAGGCATCAAATTATATTTCCCACTTGACGGGCATGAAGGGTCTGCTATGGATCCCAACAGATAAATGCGGGGAACAGGAGGGAGATTCAGGAAGAACAAAATGCCGCAAACAATAAAGAAAGCAAGAGGCACAAAGCGCAGTATTTGGAACCGATAAGGAGTCTATAGGGGGCCATGGAACTAAGTGGCTGGAAAAGGAAGTTGACACGAATCGAGCAGAACGTGGGCCATTGCAGCAGGGCATGTGACTGCACAGAAAGGAGCAGCACGCTTGGCTGTGGGCTCAAGGGTGGGTGCTGCCATGCTGACAGCCCCGGCACATGAGGGACTACTGAATGCACTTGGAAAGGTGCCAGGGCTCTCGGACATACTATCCAGGCACTAGTGAACAGGAGAATCATCCTGAGAGCTCTCATCTGAAATGCCTGTCACCAGAACTGCCTAGATTTCAGGTCTCTGTGTCTTTCTGATTTAGGGACACTTGCCTTGAGTTTACTTGCTAAGCCTCTCTCATTCAAAACTCTTCAATATAAACAAGGTTCCCCACTCTTCTCTGCCCCAGGACTGTAACCATGGGCTCCATTTCCAGACCCCTCTCCAGGTCTACACTTCAACTTGGAAACATGTGTGCGTTCCTAGTGGCTGTGAGCAGCAGCTGGACTGTCCCACACCTTTGGGCTTGTCTTTCCTCAATGTTCTTCTGCTAGTCACTGTCCTGGAGAGGGAACTCCTCCAAGCAGTCTCTCTCTCTGTCTGGAGGACTATTGGGCATGGTTTTGTTTCTTTATAACTGCACAGGCTAAATTCATCTTCATTGAAAGACTGGTAATATTTCATCTGCTGCAGTTGAACCGGTATAATTTTTATCTTGTGCTTCATGGGTTTTGAACAAAGGACCTGAAGTAGTTGATAATAAATTTACCACCGAGTAAGCAGACTCCAGAAAGTCAAAGCCAGACAACAATTTAAACTCCCAAATTGTTTTAAAAAAATTATGTATCTTTCTTGAATCATCCCTGTGTGGTATCAGAGAACAGCTGTTATTATATTCTGTCGTTACATCCACTTTACGATTCTGTCAATGTGCTGTAACAAGAATATCTCTCCCAACTGTTCTCAGTTTTAACGCATGCTCACATGAGGCGAAGCATGCTGCCAACCTCTGCTGTGCTGCTAGAGCTCGCGCTCTCTTGCTCATTATGTATTCTGCAAACCATGCTGTGCATGTCAGGCACCTGTACTTAGGGTGACAATCCTGCATGGGAACGATGTACCTGTCCTGCCTGCACTGACCCATCTTATGGCCCCCACTCATAAAGCACAACCTCTAATAGGTAACGTAGGTTTTAAGGCCCAGGGCTACACTCGGCCTCATAGAACTTTTGGGATACTTAGGGTACAGATGAAAATAGTCACCTCGGAAGGCGGACATGGGCATCTCTATTAATTCTCCTGCAGTACTACCTATCATTGCCTAGTTGATCATAAATCCTAAGTGATGGCAGACTGCCCTTTCATCCCCCTTCAATGTCCGCTGGCCTTTGGGCCTCTAGATGGCACTCTTCTCATTAGGTAGCAAAGAGCTCAGACTAATGCTAAGTTACTAACACATTATTAAGTATAGAACCAATCCAAACAATAAGCATTCAAGTAAAGTTATAAATGAGCAAAAGTCATTTTAAAACACAAACATATTTCCTAGAGACTGACCCACAACATACATACACCTTTCACTTATGTGGGTCACTAGTACATAGTAGGGAAGAATCCATGACCAAGCTCTGGAAGATGGGGTCCTAGGACCAGCAGCAGGAACACTTTGGGGAACTTGCTAGAAATGCAGACTCTCAGGTGGTGTCTACTGATCAGTAGTTATTATTATTACTTATTCTAATAAACCTTTGGGTAACTTTGAGACATGCCAAAGTTTGAGAACACTAATCATGGATGACCCTTCATGTCTGTTTTCACTTTAAAGTTGCGGCTCATGTTCTGTTTATTTGCTTCTGATTTCAGAATATATTCGAATGGCTACTGTGACCGCTGCTGTTGCTATAATTAAGAATTCTCTCTAAACTACGTGCCTCTCCAAGATAAGACATGATAGCTGCATATCACTCAGAAGTTTGAGCAATGGGGACAGATAATTTTCATTAGGGATTACCTAGTCTCTTACACATAAAGTTTCTTGTAGACAGTAGAGAGTTGGGCCTTACTTTTATGTACTCTGAGAGACTGTCTTTTGAATTATTCATTGTCAAACTGATTACTAATACAATAGATAAATGATTGTATAAAACTTCCAAGTGATTTTTAAAATAATTATGTGTCATGTGAATATCGAAGTGTAGGTATGTGCATTGAGCGCAGGTGCCTGGGGAGAGCATAAAAGTGTATTGGTTTCCCTGGAGAAGGAGTTACAGATGGCTGTGAGCTGCCCAACTTGGGTCCTCTGCAAGGGTAGTAAGTGTTCTTGGCTGCTGAACCACCTTTGCAGCTACTATAAGTGCTTTCTATTTGATACACTTGCCTTTCCCTTTTTTAAAAAACTTTTTCTAGTCTTAATTAAGCATATTTAATCATCCCATTTTCTCTTTTTATCATAGTTCCTATATTTCTTAAAAAACTTTTAGTACTTGCCCTAGAATTTGCAGCACTTAATCTAAGTCCAAGTAACAGTATATTACT